TATCTAATTCTTATGATCTATTCTAAGAAAACAACCTTAGCAATATCATCATCGTTTTGGCTTTACATTTATAACATAAATCCTCAGTTAGGGGTGTGGAATTTGGGACTAAATGCCTGACATCTCTGCCTCTGAAGCTCTGAGTTCTTGACTGTCTTTTTTCAATCTGTTTCTCACTAGCCAAAAAGTTGGACATCCATTAGCAAGTTGCTGAACCTCTCCCAGCTTTAGGATCTCCGATCTTTTGCTGAATCTGACCTCTAACCTCCTTTAATACAGCTGAAGTGCATTTGACCCCTCAATCTCAGAGGAGAATTTCTTTGAGCTTTTATTTTAGTTTTACATGACAAAACATTGAACTGTTTGAACATGGAGGTTTATAATGCTAATTGGAAATAGTTGTGGTATACATAAGCAATGACATGTAATATAATTCAATGGGCAGCACTCAATGTAGCAGCAACAATATGACAATATTACTCAAATTGTTCAATATCATGAGCAAAACGTATTGGTGTGATTTTGATTTAGCTCAGCTTGCTGCCTCTGATCAGGATCCAGCTCTTTACCTCCACTCTAGATATGTTTGATGACTCGGGTCAGTGTCAAAGATCAGCTACTTACCCAATCAGGTAACTAGCTCCAGAAGGAAAATTACCTTCTTCCGACCACTTGCACTCACCTGCAGTGACCCGGAGCAATCAGAGGTGAACAGGGCTCCTAATCACGGAGACCCCTTTAGGTCAGTACAGGCACACCCCACACTCGGCACCACCCAGCCTCCTGCAAAACCACCTCCCCCAGACAAGGCCAACTCTGAGTTCAAGTGTTTCAACTGTCACATCAAATAGGCTCAAACGTTGAGATTTCTTGCGCAGGACGCATTGTTTGTTTAGTTTGATGCTAAGTGCAATATCCTGCCACTCTGTTGATCCGAGCAGAGCTTGGTAGTCAGGCCGTGTCAAGTAGAGGTGGCCTGCGTCGGGCACGCTCGCACTCTGATCAGCCGGGGGAAGTGTGGAAGGTGGAACAGGAAACAGAGCACTGGAAAGGATCTATAACCTGGAGCACAACCAGGTTTCCCCCACTGTTTATTTTGATAGAAATGACCCTGGTCATGCAGCAGGAGTACGCGTGATAAAGCAGAGACTGCACATTGTGGCATATTATGAATTTTTATGGTAGCTTCTGGTCAAGTGAAACGTGATGGATGCTCAGCTACAAATGTTTGTGTTTCATGTACCCTTAACCTTTGAGGGTGCTTGAATCCATGAGCACTTAAGATGTGGTGTGTGTGCAGAGTGAGTACATTACAGTGAGGGGACTCTTTTCCGATGGGGAACTGTGCCAAATCTCTGACAGATGATGAATGTCTCGCTCTATGCTCTCAGATTATTTGCCGAGTGTAGTTTAAAAAGGTCTGAGGACTGAGTACAATATGCAGTCCCAGGGACCAATAATAATTTATAATATAAGAGGGAATTCAAGTGAAATAACAGCAAAACAGACTCTTATCAGTGGTGGGATGTGACTTAGTACATTTACTATTCAAATATTCGTTTTATGTTTTCATTCTTGTGCTTCATTACATTTTGGTGTACATTTTGTTCTCTTTCCATGTCATTTATTTTGACAGGTTTGTTACGTGCTAATTTAATGAATAAGATTATTAATGCAAAATACAATCAATTTATGAAGTATTTGTATGGATATGTTGATAGTAGCTGCACCTTTACTACTGTATGCATCTATAACAATAGGGACATTAGAGGGTGGAGTAATTGTGAGGAAACCAAAAATGTAACAATAGACTTCATGAATGAAAATTTGAAAGTGTTAAAACTGTAAGATGAAAAAAACACTTAAACTATAGACAACACTGTGGTAGCAACCTGTCATCATCTGGAACATGTTTACTAACGTAATCAATAAAGTCAGAAGTAAAATCATTTTCTCAAATGGGGCCTTATTTAGCTTTTATGGGTTTTCCATTTCCTGTAGTGTGTTAAACAGGTTTTTGTGCAAGTAAATGATATGCAAAGGATAAAATCCCAAAGTTCCCTCCAGAGAGAGTTTCCCTCCCTCAGGGCGGGTTGGCTCTTAGCAGTTGACCAATCACAACAGAGCGGCCAGCTAACCAATCAGAGCATGCTGGGCTCTGGGTGAAAAGAGGTGCTGCAGCGCAGGCAGTATGAGAAAAATAAAGAGCTTTTTAAACGTTAAAGCATGGAGATATGTCACAGTAGACTAGAGGCACAACATACAATTATAAAACCTTAAAGTGAACATAATACGGCCCCTTTAAAATGTAACTTATTTTTCAGAACGACTCAAGTCGCCCTCTGCTGACCATTAGAGAGAATGCAGGTTTAAGGCATTTCTTCATTGGCTTCACTTTTCAGACCCGGAGGGTGCAGATTAGATAATCATCATGATAATATGCTACTGCTGGCATGTAAGAATGTTATGCAGGATAGCTAAAACAATGAATTAAATTTTACTAAAAAGCTCCATAAACAGGTAGACTGCAGGCTCAGATGATTATTCTCTGTTGATTTGTCACCTTTCACTTTACAAAATGTCATGTACAGTAATACATTGTTCATGAAGAAAATATCCACTAGAGCAGCTGAGTTAATGTTACTTTCCCTGGCTTCTTACAAGTGGACCACCAGCGGACTCCAGAGGAGGTCTGTAGTCCTTTACAATCAGCTTCTTCTCAAGGTTTAACAAATGATACCTGGCTGGCTGTTTAAGGACCCACCACTGTGTGGTTTTGACAGAAACTTGATCTGAGATAACACATGATGCCCTTGCCTGTACGCCTATCGCCTCTCCGTCAGTTTGCTTGGCTTGTTCAACAACTGGACAGGAAGTCTGCTAATCTGTAACCAGAGCCGGGGGGAAGGAAGAAGTCAGGAACCAGCCTTCAGTGCTTTCACCAATCGTATTCATCACCAAAGCCGGGCCGAGGCTGGTTTAGAGCGGGAGCACGGCTTAACTAAACATCTTCTCCATAAAATAAATGCTTCCAGGTTACTCCCAGTCCAGGTTCCACACAGAGGAGCATCTGATCTCAATTAGCAGGAGTGCTATAGGAAGCAGTGAGGCTCGGCCTGCAGCCTGAGCCAACAGCACCATGGCAACCAGCAGCACGTCGACGAGCCCCGCGCAGATACGAGGCCTTTTCAGGCCCTTGTAAGGCGGGAAATGATGATTCGATAATTAGTTCCTGATGCCTCCCTCCTATTCTTTTTCATATCAATCATGTCTAGGAAACAGAATGCAATTCAAATACAGTTTGAAGCTGGAGAGATTGGTTGGTATACTAAACGTCTATTTAAGAGTGTGGATGCCCTGTGTACACTAGGTTTTCCAGTGTAAAACTTCAAGACTAAACACTAGAAAACCTTATGCACTGAAAAGACAAAAAACACTCTCAGAATTGATGGTCCTGCTGGAATATTTTTATAAACGCAGACTTAAATTGTCACAATTGTGACGCAGATATAAAACAGGGACAAGCACATTAAAAAACATTCGTGTCAAAAGGACAATTTTCCATGCTTGTCCCTTCACCAAATGCTAACAAGACTATTAACAAAACTGTAAATCAAATAAGATGTACGATTCTAACAGGAAGATAACAAAGAATTAAGGATTAAGGAAAGATTCATACAGAGAAATGTATAATACATTTTAATAAAATGTTAAATTTTTCTACACTTTTAATTAGTGCAAGCAGTGAAGACAGGTTGTGGAAAATAAAACTGTTGTGTTTGCGTTTAGGCAAGATGGATCATCTGCTGATGTTTAATCAAGAATGATAATATTATATTTCTTACATGAACTTTTTGGAATAGCATCTTTTATTTTTCAACATTTACTGTAATAGAAACAATTAATTCAGTAACATATGTCTTTAGACAGAGCTTAGTTGAGGTCTGCAACGTTTAAAATATTATATTATCAAGATTTGATTTCCACATGGACAAGCTATTCTTAAAATTGTTACAGTATGCAGGAAATTACTCCAACAGACAAACATCTCACATAGGTTTGGCTCAGATAATGTCTCCAAGGGAAGGTATCAAAGATCAAAACCTGGCAACTCAACTGCACTGTTTGGTTCCTTTTTGTTTCTGTTTTTTCCCATATTCTGCTTACTCCTGCAGGGGAGCTTCCCTGCTTCTATAAGAATAACTAAGAAAGATAATCTGTGAGTAAACAGAAGTGGTGGTAATGTAATCAAATGTCACAGTCATTTCACAGTTTACATACTCTGTTAAAAGCAAAAGTTCTCTTTTCAAAATGTTTAAGTACTAAAACTAGTGCAAAAAGGGAAATCTACCCAGACAATAAGTTAAAACTCCACACTAGAGGAAGACTGTCATTTTCAAAACCTCCACAACAGCTTCTAAATTGACCTCTTGGTGAAGATTACAGCTTTCATCAAAACATATTATCATGGATTATTACATCAATAGTAGATCTACATTTGGAGAAAAGCTCAACAGATTATTATCTTATCTGAATATTCAGCATGGACATGTACTGTATGAGGGTCAATTTTATAAAACATAGTTAATTTTTTAGGAATTAAATGTCATATTGAAGGGGTTTCATCTAAACAGTAAAGCCTTTGGTGACTTATTTATTTGCCAGCAGGTGGAGATAAAGCACTCCCTAAAGCATCCTGTCATGTGTCCCTTCACCCTTAGGATGTTATTGACACATTAAACCAACATTTTTCATAATTTAAAGGCAGACCTTTTTAGAACCCAGAAGGTTAAAAATACAATCCTGAGAACAATTGCCTAGCAGTTATTGTTCAAACGGAACAAATCCAAATTATTTGGAGCAAGTTACAGTAGACTTTCTTACAAATATAATGCAGACTAAAAAGAGGAAGTAGAGGAAACTGTGTTACCGCCCATTCTCTATGGTTGATGTTATAAAGCCATCCCTACATAAAAGCCCATGTAGAGGCCTATGGGCTTTTAGGTAGAGAGAAGCACACCCATCTCTTAAATGACTTTCTAGGAACACTAGAACGATCCACACGTGGGAATCATGAAAGGTGAGTCCTTCAAATTATGAAACACCTGCTGGATGTTATGTGATGTTTTCACACCAAGATAATATACGTTATTATTTTTATAGAGATTTGCATATTCTTGATCTGCTTCATCAACCTGTTGCTGCTGGAGAGCTCATCGTGTGCTGGTGACTCAAGTGTTGGTAAGCAGTTCATCTTTATTAATCTTATTTTCTTATAAAACTTGAAATACGAAACTGATATATTTCATCCCATGTCACGTTAAGATTCAGTCTCCGTGAAAGTGCTGTTGCGAGTAAGCTATAAACATTTTTCAGTTTAAAAAAAGTTGCATATTTTTGTAAAATTTCCATTACAATTTCTTAAGGCCTTAAGTGTGACCTTTACTTTACCAATGTACCATTGTTGATCCTTTGGTACAGTGTTACTTAAGACTAATGCTGGAAATAATATAAGGTAAATAGTAAATACAAATATATTTGTTATTAATACCACTCTTATCATCTTATTCACAGTTAAATAAGGAAGAAAGCTGACGTGGTCAATTATCTCATTGAACTTCTGCAAGTATGAACGGAGTACAGGAAGCCTGCAGAGAGTGTTAAAGATACGGGGGGGACAGGAAATGAAGTGCTAATTTAGTATAGTTTCAGTGAAGACAAAGCAATATGCACCACTTTTTAACCTTAATTTATCCTGGGTAGTTTCACAGGTCTCATCATTAGGCCACCACTTTGTAGTTTTATGGGGAAGCATACAAACATATATTTTGTGTAAGATTCAATAGCATAACACACAATATTTAACACACAGTAACATGAATTAGTTTAACATGTTCAGAATCAATACATTATCTGAACTATCAGTCATTTAGTAAAGCAGGGCCTACACTGAGGGATCTATTCATTCTCAAAGTGTAATATGATTTCTTTCTTCGGTTTCAGTGAATCCCTGTTGTTCCTACCCCTGTCAGAACTCAGGAGTGTGTGTGAGATTTGGTACAGATCGCTACGAATGTGACTGCACTCGAACTGGCTTTTATGGAGTCAACTGCACTGTTCGTGAGTACTGCTACGTTTTTTATGTGAGACATAAATCTGCATGTCAACATCTGGGTGTGAAAAACACAGTGGATATCTGTTCAACCTCTCATGTACCCCTTTTACCTCCATCGGTACTTTAATGTACACACTTATCCCCAATCTATCTATTTGTATGCTTGTGGTAATGTACATTTAGAAACTTTAATAAAAAAACAAGCATAACGGAAGTGCTCAATAGCGAGTTGATAAAGGAATATTCGTTTTGCATTTACGGTATGTGTTGCGACCTGGCTCAGAAGGCCACAACAAAAGGGAGACACAACATATTAACTGGTAGAAAAAGGTGTTTATTTGCACAAACACATCAAAAATAGACACTGGACAGTGGCGGCTGGTGGAAAATATTTTTGGTGGGGCTATGGAAATGGTGACAAAAACGTGTGTGTGTGTGTGTGTGTGTGTGTGTGTGTGTGTGTGTGTGTGTCTTGCCAACCCTCCCGATTTTCGCGGGAGACTCCCGCATTTCTCCCGATTTCTGACAAAATCAGATTTACTCACGACTGTTTCCACTCGGACTTTAATACAGCTACACCATTGTTTGGTTTCCATGGTAGCGCGTCTCTTTAGCAGCGCGCGCAACTCAAAGTCTGAGAGGGTGAGGGAGATGAAAACTGAACAATAATCGACAACTCCACCCTCTGCTCACTCCTTTCCTGTAAAATACAGGTCCAGCCCACACATACTATGCTCCATGGTGCCACAGGCATTGCCCTTACAACTACTATAAGCATGTCAATGTTAATCTACAGCTCCGGCGATCCACTAGCACCGGAGTCACCTGCAGAAGCAGCCATCCCCTACTGTAGCGTCACCTTGGATACGAGTCTAAACAACTCACAGACATACAGGCCAGGGCGCTGAAAGGGCGCCCTTTGAGCATCAGATCTGACGACGCTGATTGGCTAAAATTATGTTTCGGCGGCATAGTTTACAGATAGCAAAAGTCAGCTTGTTGGCTGCTGCTGCTCTGGCTGAGGGCTCCTTTAGACATCGAAAAACTATTTTAAACGAGATTTTATTGTAGATTATAAATGTTACTGATACCAACTATATAATATTTACCTTGTTCTTTAAAAATAAAAATAAAAATAAGAAATATATATTTTTTGGAAATATATTTTTTTATGAATTTTTTATTTTTAATGACAATCAAACATGTGGGAAGAGGGGGGGCGGCGCCCCTAGCGCCCCTATGGGCCGGCCGCCACTGACACTGGATATACTCATCAGAGCCGGGTACCTGCAGGAGAAAAGCCGAGAGCCCACAGATAGGCGCAGAGAGGCTTTAAATAGCTCCAGGACCCCGACCCAGGTGCCCTGAATCACCGCAATCAAGGCAATCACTGGATCCAATGCAGCACAGACGGAACAGCCACACCCTCTCTACTGATGGACCCACAGGGGCATCACAGTATGTGTTTATTTTGGTTTTCATTCCTACGTTCAGAAATTCATTAAGCCTTAAAGGTGTCCTATCATGCAAAATGCACTTTTTGATATCTTTTATACATACATATGTGTTCCTGCCGTGTCAGGGAACTCACAAAGTGTCAGAAAATAAAACCCTCTCTCTTTTCCTCCGTACCCACATCTCTAAAAACGGGGCTACAACGGAGGTGATCCTGATTTGTGTCCGATATGACGTAATATGCGGAATGTGGACTGGCTTTACACCCACCGCCCTATCAGAAACGTCGCTATCAGAAACAATGCGCGACGTATTTTGGACGTAATATGGTCTTTGTTTACATTAGCAAGCATCGCTAACACTCAGAGCTAACCTGTACTGGAGAGAGTATGTGTAAAAAAGCAGAAAATAGGAAAAGGAACTCACCTTGTGCTAAACCCGCAAGAGAAAAAGCATTTGAGCTCCATAATGTTTCAGAAATGCTTGATGTGGTTTGGAACATGATATGGCATTTAATCACAGCAGCATTTAGTCATTTGTAAAGCATTAATACTAATATATTAATTAGGATTTGTCTCAATCCCTTACACAGGATGCTTAATTTGAATTGCTATAAAAAAAAAAGAAAGTCTGATCTTTGTGTTTAGCGGAGCTCTGGACCAGAGTTCGTCTCATGCTGAAGCCGAAGCCTACGGCGGTTCACTACTTCCTCACGCACTTCCACTGGTTCTGGGACCTCGTAAACAACTCTTTCCTGCGAGACACGTTCATGAGATTAGTGCTGACCGGTAGGTGAAAAGTCTCATGGTAAAGATAAAGAGCCACAGTTGATACATCAACAAACCTCACTTGCAGCTAACATTCCTCAGCATTTTATTTAGTTATACTTTGTTAATTATATGATGTAAACTTCACATTGTCCCATTCTCCCAAAGTCAGAAGCGACCTTATTCCAAGCCCTCCGACCTACAATACTAAATATGGATACCTCAGCTGGGAGTCTTACTCCAACATGTCCTACTACACCCGTCTCCTCCCTCCTGTTCCTGAGGACTGCCCTTTGCCCATGGGAGCTAAAGGTGAGACCTGCAAAACTACACACAGCCGGCTGAGCTCTGAGAAAAACTAAACAATTCTTTCACTACAGGTAAACCTCAGCTTCCTGATCCCAAAGTGTTGGCCGAGAGGTTTTTTAAGAGAAAGACATTCAGGCCAGACCCTCAGGGAACCAATGTGATGTTTGCCTTTATGGCGCAACACTTCACTCACCAGTTCTTCAAGACAAACCAGGAAGTTCAAGGTGGCTTCACCAAGGCTTTAGGACATGGGGTGAGATGAAACTGACATTCTGTGCTAATCACTATATGACCCTTTCATTATTTCTTGATTTTGAATGTGTTTGACTTTTGAATTTATAAAGAGATGTATACATTTCCATATTCCCAGGTAGATGCGAGCAATATCTATGGAGACAGCCTCATACGACAGCTTCACCTACGGCTTCATAAAGATGGAAAGATGAAATATCAGGTATTAAATACATTTATGACATTTTGGGAGTACAAAGTGAGAGGATTAATACTACTCAAATGTGGGGTATTAATCTGCTCATCTAACTCATGACAAGGCAAATAACGTTGTTTGCCAAAATGTATTTTTGTTGTCATATCATTTAAAGGTGGGGTATGTAATTTTGGAGAAACCTAGAGTGCGCTAGAATTTGAAAATACACCGAAAAAATCTGCCACTTCTTTACAGAGCCCCTCCTCCAACACACACGAAAGCGCACATGACCAATGAGGCCACGAGATAAGTTTGTGCACAGATGGAAGGCTGACAGCTATGAATTCACAGAGGGCCCATCTATGGAGTCAGATTTGGGTCAATATTCTAGCGTGCAAAACAAGCTACTCACGAGCGGAAAATGTGCTTTTACACGCGCATGAAATGACCCTCGCGCGCAGATTAAACCCCCGCGAGCAGGGACAGCCCTCTTGCTCGCTCGCGGGAGTGTCAGCCTCACTCGCTCGCGGAGTCTGTCTGCGCGCGCGTGAAAAGTTTCTAGGCTTGTTTGAGACAAGCGAGACCTGCGCAGACCTGCGCAATTTCGATCAACGTCTTGCTAGTGCGTTGCATGATGGTTAGTTATTTTGTCCGACTTGCTCTGGAGGCTCGCCTACATGAGACGTTGAAATCTCGCGGGACAAAGAAGTTCGCAGCCTTGAGAGCGAGGCGCGGCGAGGCGGCGCAGTTCCTCTCCACGGGCTGCGGAAGCGAAATGCTTGATGAGAAACGACTCGCTGGTATCTCGAGCTGAGCGCTCATTAGTGGTTTTTACCCCGTGCTGGTGATGAAACTCTCCAATTGGCTCGGCAAAAGTTTGTTGTTGTTTTGTGTCAGTTTTACGCCGCCCCCTCCACTAACATTTTTCATAATTGTTCCACAATGTTTATCATCATGAAATTAATATCTATATATGTTATACTATACTTGCACTGCTTACCGTTTTCATACTTTATATATCTTAGCATATTCATACACACTGTTCANATATACATATATAGCAATTAATCCAGCGTCTCTTAAATAATTCCTGTTTCTTCTTTCATGTACAGTTAAGGTTTCTCTCTCCGCCTTTCCGCACTAAGATTCCAATCTTAGTGCGGAAAGGCGGAGAGAGAAACCTTAACTGTACATGAAAGAAGAAACAGGAATTATTTAAGAGACGCTGGATTAATTGCTATATATGTATATTTTATATACGTTATATTACATAAAAACCAATTCAGTGTTTTTGAGAATCGATATACAGTAACTTAATACCTAATATATTTTTGCTGCCGTTAGATGGTACGCATTTGTGGAGAAGCAACATTTTCTGTCTGCTTCACACTCCGCAGACTGTGTGTGTGTGTGTGTGTGTGTGTGTGTGTGTGTGTGTGTGTGTGTGTGTGTGTGTGTGGTGTGTGTAGTCGTAGTGTGGTGTGTGTGTCGTGTCGTTGTGTACGTAGTGTGTAGTGGTGTGTGTGTGTGTGTGTGTGTGTGTGTGTGTGTGTGTGTGTGTGTGTGTGTGTGTGTGTGTGTGTGTGTGTGTGTGTGTGTGTGTGTGTGTGTGTGTGTGTGTGTGTGTGTGTGTGTGTGTGTGTGTGTGTGTGTAGTTGAGTATGTGCTAGTACCAGCAAAAACTCACCAAGGCACTGCTATTCTTTCTTTAACCCCTGCTGTTTCTTTCTGCTGCAGCCGGTCAAACACTTAGTGACTGATTGCGGTGTTAAATTCATATTTCACAACTTCTTAAATGTGAATGATGGTGTTAATGGGACAGTTTCAAACATGGTAAAAGCTACATTTGCATAATTAGTGTTTTCACATGTTTAGGCACACCACACGGCACAGGCTTACATTAAGATCATTCACGTTGTGTCAGGTGACTTGTCATTTACTGAATGCTAACTAATTTGTGCTTTGTTTTCTACGTGACAGGATTCACTGTTTAGCGCTCACACGTGGGAAATCAATGATATGTAAGAAGGCTTAAACCAACCGTAGAAGTGTGTTTGAATATGTTTTGACCTCAGTCTCTCGCTGATTATGGGAGCATGAAGCAGCATCTCTGATATCTCATTAGAGACGGAGCAGAGGTCAGGGTGAAACGCTGAGGGATGAAGGGAGGGAGGAGACGGAAAAGAAAAGTTAGATGCGGAGAGAAGTCGACAGAGAGGAGATGAATGCAGGTGTAAGGAAACAATATCATCTTTCATTTACACAACGTTTTTTAGTTTTGCCGCCTGTATTCAGAATTGAAAGCAGAGCACCCTCCGAGGTATGGTTTGTCTACTTGATTAATGAGAGCACTCCACACAGGCAGTGAAACACTTAGGGATTCATCCTCATAAGAAAATTGATTACCTTTAACTAGAAAACAATGGAGAATGAGGAAGTGTAATGAGCGGGCACCTGTTTTATTTCACGATCATTACAGGGGCCGGGAAAGCAATCACCGTGTTATGTAAAACTCTGGTATTAATGGATGTTGTACGGAAATAAGAGTAAAGCATCACGATCGAAGAAACACTCATTTGCTCTTTAGAAGACTGATTACTGCACTGTAGAACAAAATGAAAAACTAGACTCCTTTTTGGGATTAAAATGAGTCCTTCTCACAATTATCCCTTCTTTTTTTAAACTTATGACCTTGCGATCTAAATGACTAGAACATACGGTAATGTGAAGTCAAGTCAGTCACACAAGCTGTTCAGGGGATTAATGTGTTCGTTTGTGCCCTAATCCCAAAACAGGCAGAAGCAAATCCTTCCTCTTTACCAGTAGCAATTAGAATCAGGTTTTACTGTTTAGGATTAAACCAACTGTTCCTTTCAGCAGCCCATTATATTCCTCCTCTCAGCTAATGAGGCCTGTGATGAGCTATTGATGTACAGCAGGGTGTCTCAGGTAGTGAGGGAGAAAGCTAAACCCGGGTTCTCAAAGTTTCAAAGACTGACCGCCGATTTAGAGAGTCAGCAAGTGATTCACGGCTAACCAGGAACGTGCATAGAAAGTTCAGAAGCTAACTTTAGCTAACGGCAGTGTGTGTGATTCCTGCATCACTGTGCCATAAAACCAATATCTGTGATGCAATGAGATGTATTGACATAATATACTTTTATGACACTGAATTTCAACATATATTACACATATTGTTTACATACACTAGGACTAATACAATGTTTGACAAACAATACTGACTTTTGTCATTATTTCTCATATTTGCAACATACCAGGCGTATTTTTTGACATATGCTATGCTGTTTTTTTCATATTTTCGACATACTACTATACTAAGGCATAGTGTGCAAATACTTTGGTACCACTTTACAATAAGACTACCCTTATAAAGGATTCATAAAGGGTTATGAATTAGGTTGTAAACACTTTATTAATCATTAAGAAGCATTTATAAACCAGTTCTAACTGGTTCTAATACGTCAACACAGGCTCACTATTTGGCAAGATGACTAAGCCTTACAGTATATTGGCTACTTAGCGAGAATCAACTCAGTGAGCAACAGATACTGTACCAAGGATGCTGGCTGATGAAGGAGATGAAGTAAGCTGAGTAGTCAATATAAGACTTAGCAGTACAGATCAATGTGGGCTCACTATTTATAATGACAACCGGTCACAGGTGCCCTGTTTATCTCATGTCTTATAAAAGCTTATTAAGGATTTATAAAGTGTTCACGACCTAATAAATAAATGAATTACAAACTATTCGTAAACCCTCTATAAGGCTAGTCTTATTGTAGAGTGGTACCAAACTGTCTAATTGTCGAAATAGTAGAATAAATAATACAAAATAAAACATCTGGAGGAACATAGTGTTATTGAAGTGGGACTGTTTACTCAGTGAAGTCAGGCTGAAGGCAAAGTGTGAGGTCGGCCTCTCTTCACAGATACTATCAGACACGCTGAGAGCTACAAGGCCGACAATCACTACTTCTTTTTTTTTTCACTATAAATAACAGTTGGGAGCAACCTGGGGATGTGTGTGCAGAGACGGAGTAAACACGTACCTCTCTGGACTGCCGGGGAGTGCTTCCAAGCTTCACGCCTGGGAGAGAGAGGAGAGAGGAGACAAGAAAATCAGCACTTAGGTAAACAACATGTATTTTTCGTCCTTGAAGAAGAGAGTTGGGCGCCTCAGAAGCATCAGAGGCTGCAATAATTGAACACTTCCTATCACTTAGTAGACTCTTTTGATCCGTGGGAAAACCAGCAGTGCTTTACTAGTCCGCAGAGGGAAGACAGGTAGCTTTATCACCGTAATGAGATGCCATGAGCATGAAGAGTTGGTAAATGATGCTCAGTGAGGATAGACAGGGGAAGACATCTCAATAAAGAGGGGAACAGATGCAAGGAGGCAGTGTTAGAATCAAATAAGTACATTTACGCTAATAGACATTTGAGGTACTTCACTTTTTCAGTTTATGCAACAGGATCATAATGTAGTGGAGCTAATATTGTACTTTTGACTACACTACATGTATGTGATAGCTTTAGTTACTTTGCAGCTAATACATATAAGCTATCAAACTTTATATAGAGTCATTGAAAGTAACCATACCTTTACCACAAGCAAAATGGAAGTCTATATATTCATGCATCACTAATTAAAATCCAATAATATACACTGAACAAAAATATAAACGCAACACTTTTGTTTTTGCTCCCATTTTTCATGGATGAACTCAAAGATCTAAAACATTTTCTACATACACAAAATAACCATTTCTCTCAAATATTGTTCACAAATCTGAAAAAATCTGTGATAGTGAGCACTTCTCCTTTGCCGAGAAAATCCATCCCACCTCACAGGTGTGGCATATCAAGATGCTGATTAGACAGCATGATTATTGCACAGGTGTGCCTTAGGCTGGCCACAATAAAAGGCCACTCTGAAACGTGCAGTTTTGCTTTATTGGGGGGGTCTGGGGGGGTCCGAAAACCAGTCAGTATCTGGTGTGAGGGTTAGGGTTAGGGTTAGGGTTAAATGTTGTGAATCGAGTGGCCTGTGTTCGTCGTCCATAACATACGCCTGCCCATACCATAACCCCACCACCACCATGGGCCACTCGATTCACAACATTACCCTAACCCTAACCCTAACCCTAACCCTCACACCAGATACTGACTGGTTTTCGGACCCCCCCACGAGCACACACACACACACACCTACTACTACGTACGTACGTACGTACGTACGTACGTACGTACGTACGTACGTACGTACGTACGTACGTACGTACGTACGTACGTACGTACGTACGTACGTACGTACGTACGTACGTACGTACGTACGTACGTACGTACGTACGTACGTACGTACGTACGTACGTACGTACGTACGTACGTACGTACGTACGTACGTACGTACGTACGTACGTACGTACGTACGTACGTACGTACGTACGTACGTACGTACGTACGTCGACGACGACGACGACGACGAGACGA